ATTCATACTGATGACGGTATTACTACAAAAGCAGAGGTGCCATACTAATGATTTGATTTAACACGAATTTGCAAAGAACGGAATAAATTGCTCAGTCATGCTTTCCAATACTACGAGAGATTTGAGGGGATTGGGATCTAAGTGGGTGATATGGACTAGATAATTCAAAACATAAGCCATCCCAATCAGGAATCGTTATATGAGATCAGATGAGGAAAGGTTTTCGAATCTATCTTCTAAAAAAAGGTTCGCTACTTTTCCCCATTAAGGTAGGTGGTTTCTAAGGTGATGTCCAAAAAGTATGATCGTCACACAACATAATAAACGTTAGAAAAATGACAAGAGCATCAAGCTTTCAATTACTCACCTGTCCATTCTTGATGTACAAATCACGCATAGATGAAAACTGCTCTGTTCCGGCAGTATCGAGAATTTCTAGTACACATGGTTGACCATCAACCTTAAGAAAACCAAAAAATCGAATAATTAATAAGTAAACATTGGAAAAATCAGGAAGGAAATAAAAAATAACCAAAAGTAATCGATTATTGATTGAGTGATATACTTACCTCTATTTCCTTTCTGTAAAAATCTTCTATTGTAGGGTCGTACTTTTCGATAAAAGTACTGCTAACAAATTGAACAGTTAGAGCTGATTTACCCACACCTCCGCTACCCAACACAACCACCTTGAATTCACGCATCTGCAAAGGAAATTCGTTGGAATAAGTCCGTAATGAATGTCAGAGAGAACGACGACAAACGCAGTGATAGATTCGACAACAAAATGGCGGAGAAAGAGAAAAAGAAAAGAAGAGAAAGGAAAAGAATAGCTGACAGTAAAAGAATAACATACAATCGTTAAAATAGAGAAAAAGTAAGGGTTGAATTATTTTTGTTGCGAGAACACTGATCGATAATTATTTGCACAGCCAGTGTGCTCCGTTGTTACAACGATGTTGAACAGGAAATAGTTAACATACATATATCATCGAATATCATCAGATACAATCAGAAATCTTCCGGGATCTCTTTGCATATGCAAGCGCTGACCACTTTTTCTCGAAAATTCCAGTGGTAGCTCGCTCAATGACAACCTAGTGTAATACGAGGGCGGTAATAATTCAGAGATATCCAAGACCTCCACTACTACGTACCCAAAATAACACACACATTCAATCTGAGTACGTCAATCAATGAAAAAGAATAATCGAAAAGAAAAAGGGAGTAAAGAGAAAATGATTTGGTGAGAACATCACCGTCCCGAAAGTGCCAGCTCAAGTGGTGGTGTTTGCTTTCGAAACGATCGACGTGCGAAACTTTTGAAGAGGACTTGTTGCCACAAAGATTTTCTTTAGGTGAACCGCTTGAAAAAAAAGTCAAGAGATAGAAAGAAACAGCCGGTGGTACGCTGAAATGACTGTGTCACATTCCACCACCAGCCCAAGCTGGCAGAAGAAAGGGCAACATCGCGAATGTCGCCCGCGATCGCCGCGCACGGCGGCGCGGCAGGGCACTTCGCTGCTAACGGCTGTTTCCGCACAGTAATTAAGGCTGGAATCAAAACTGTAGCGTTGTATAGGGATCTCTGAGCGCAAAGGGCTTATCATAGAATTTGGATCCCGAATATTAGGACCCACGAGCCACAAGTGAGGTTGAACCAAGTGAAGGCGGAATTTGACTTAAAGTTAGTGACCAGAGCTTGGAACAGGGCTGTTACTGTTGAACTAACATTACTTCGTATAACTGATACGAGAAAGATCCGAAAATTGAGGAAGTGGAGGCATCATTCCAGTTCCATGGGAGTGGGACGAGTAGCACTGCAGCGACTGAGGGCTTGGACCAGATCTCCTGATATCTCGTTGAATCCTCATGTGGAATGAGCTTAGTTTCATAATGAATTATTCTAGCAGTATCGATTACAACCTCTTCCACCTGTTCGTGATGTTAGCGGGCGTGGCTTGCGTAATAGGCGGGGTCTGCCATTCGCGGAAGTGCAATAAATGACGTGGTCGCCGCAGATTCATTGAAATAAACGATTTGTAAGCGAGTGAATGGGGTATTTGGTCGTTTCCTTTTATTTTTAATGCAGGAGTCGAGCCGATTTCTCTTACGTAGTAACCTTTTCGCTTTTATTTATTGGTAATCGACTGATAGCGCTCATCAAACCGAAGATGGCAAAGAAAGTCTCATGACTTCTGCAGCAACATAATTTGGCGACAAAGTTGAGATCACCTGGGCTCTACAACGTTATAAGACCTAAAGGGTGCCTGAGCAAGGGCAACCAGAAAGGACTTACAAGTAGACTACTTTACCTATAAATATCTGCTCCAATGATCGCCAGCGCCATTTCCTGCCATATTTAGTGCATGTGGGCGAATACGCTTTATGAGCCCCCTGGGCCATTATGTCTCCCATTCTGACAAGCCACTCCTCATGAAACCCCAAAACTCTAACCAAAAAGCATTTTTTGTTGTTGTTGAAAAGGTTTTTTTCGACTTCGGGTACCCGCTGGTGTACAAAAGTGGTCCCCTCAAGAGATAAATCATTAAGTAAGGATAGTTTGCCCAAGTTACCACAAACAACCATAAATAGTAAATAAGAAGTAGGAATGACTAAGGCAGGTAATTGAGCGTCTGTAGAAGGTGGAAACAGTAGTTGGCCATGAAAAACTCGTAACTGCTGGTTAGTAACCTGTACAAAAGACAAATCCAACTGGTCTGTAGGGCCCTCCTACGGGGAGCTTATGACCCATAACGACGTTATTAAAGGGCAATTACTGTATTAGTGTTGCTACGCAGACAGGAAACCAGCCTCTGTTTGACTGATCAGCTCATTACGGGCTTCTGTCTCGCTTACTTCTACCATGGGCGACCTCTGATGAGTGCTTGGGTGGCAAAACGGGACCTTGAGCGTTGGTACACTTTGACCTCAGGAAAAGAGCTCGTGTCTGTAGAAAGCGAGTCCAGGAAGTTAAAGTGTTGTCAAGAGCAGTCCTGTGGAGAACTGAGATTCAAACGAGCCGCAGGAGGTGTTCTCGTGTAAGTCACCCAGACTGGACAAACCTGAATAGGATACGTTCGTAATGACAGAGAGTATTCAACAATAATTTGTTCCCAGTCGATGGATGCGGCCGAAAATGGATGACGCCGACTGAGCGGAAAGTGCGAATAATCCCATTGCTATAGTAGCCTATCCTCGCTCATTTAGGTCCTACATCCAGCAGAATCATCCGTTGGATGAGTCTGACTTAACTGTAAGATATCGTCTCAGCATTATCCAAGCACAAAAGAGCATATTTATTCGTTTGTTTATTCATTCACGTTTACTTATTCTTATGTATTCAAATTTATCTACGCCTCGTTGTCGCAGTATAGGGCACAGGTCAGAAGTTCAGAATCAACGTACGGTAGTTGGCGACGATCCCTTCGAGCCAATTAAAAATAAATCGTAACAAACATTACAGCAAATCAACACAACCATTAAATTATTGTTCAGCTATTTATCGATATTTCTCTGATTAGGCAGGAAGTGTTGTAGTGACAAGTGGCGCACTATCACACCCGTATGGTCACGGATTCGAATCCCACCTGGATCGATACTCGCCCACGTCAAACGAGTTTTCCATCTTTCCTGGGTCACTAAATTGGTACTGGATCTCTCTCAGAAGATAAAAGCAGTGAATTATACAATAATTGGCCACTGCAAGTCAGTGTATAAGCCACACACCCATTCAAACCGCCACTACGATTCTGTATGGAAGTTGAATGCTAGGCTTATCTCTCAGATGGGTTTGGTTAATGCCAGGAAGCTC